GCATGACCATATCTTCTAGTGTTATCTTTCTAGTTGCATACTGATTGCCTTGATTAAATCCAAAAGGATAATCTTGTCTAAGATTATTATTAGCTTGATTTTTTTTATTATTACAATTTGCTCCTTGGTTATTTTGACTAGAACTTCATTGATTTCAATCCTTATTATTTGACCAACTAAAACTATGGTGATTCCTCTAAATTGGATTATATTTATTTAAAAAGAAATTGTTTTGTCTTCCAATCAAATTTCTACTTTCAATCCATTGATATCATTCTATTTTATTGAGCTTTTATCTTCCAAATGTAAAGGTGAATCAAAATTTAAGTTCAAATTGCTCAACTTTTATGATATTGCTATAACTTGTGTAGTCAAAATGGATAAAGAATCATTTTCATAGACTCCTACCACTCTCTTAGGATTCATTCCATCAGCAAACTACTAGAAATTATATGGTTTTATTTCCATAATTAATTCATAAGCATCGTCAAAAGGCTTTGATATCGAATAACCTTCAGTTAAATCATCAATTATGGCTCTAAGGGATCCTACAAATTGATGGAGCAGTGGAGTGACCTAAATAATTATAAAAAAGATTTATGACCCTATCAATCTTAAAATAATGCTTAGGTTTTTTTAATATAAAAAATTATAAAATCCCGACGTACTATATGTAAGTATACATGGTAAATCAAGTAATATAGTGATAGAGTAGCACATCAATCCCACGAGGAAGAATATTTACTTGAAAATATTACTATTGTCTATTTTAACTATAATAACTATCCTACTCAATAAAAATAAGCTTTTATGGAGATTCAATCACTATTTTTAAAATAAAAAATAATTAAATTAAATACTATTGAGATAAATTCTTTTGGATTGATGGAATGCAAACACAACATGTTTTCTTATTATTCTCTTTTATATTGATGATATTCAGAGCATATGCATCATCGACCCTTAGTCAAGCATAAAGAGACAAATGATAAATTAAACTCTTCAAAACTCAATAGTACTCTAAACTCCAATAGTCTGTCACCCTATAAAAAACTTTAAAGAGCAAGTAAAGCATGTATTATTAGAACCCCATCATGAAAATTCATTTATATAAATTTGATATATGAAATGCACTAGCCTATGCTTGTATCATACACATCCAACATACTTGATTATGTCTTCCTTCATATTCCTAAGCTCCACATTACACTTGATATTAACTATGCATATAGCCACTATGTGTATTAAATGAAGGCCTGGTATATTGAAAATATCATGAAATTATTAATGAAGATAAATTTTTATTACTCCATATTTTATTTACACCAATACTCTAAAACTAAAGAATTTAGCTAGTCATAAAGAATGAGTGAAGCATTTTCATTTTTATTAATTACACAAACAAGTACAAAAGAAAATATATCACCAGATGGTTAAATGATCTCTTCTACCCTCATCCTAAAATTTACATAATTACTTCCACGAACATAAGTAAAACACTATAATAAAATGTATTTAGTACTTCTCTAAATTTCCTTAGGTTTCACTCCTAAGAAAAAACATAGAAGCACAATAATGACTGAAATTAAATAAGTGACTAAACTCTTTTACTAATGTTACATAGAAAATATTTATATAAAAAATATAGAAATTAGATTCTGGCACTGTGGTGCTTGAGATACGTTTGTCATGCCCATAAAATAAACTAATAACACAGCACTGTAGGATTTTCCTCTGATATGGCACTTGCTAACATAGACCCACTATTTAATGAATTGATGAATCACTTTGTTGAAAGATCATGGCCTGAAAAATTACAACTGTAGTGTCATAATGTTGTTAATGGTTGAACTTTATAATGTCCGCATAGCACACCCTTGACTTTGCAGTGCAAGAATTCAACACCATGATGTTGTACAAATAGAGATTAGGCTATATAACACAAACTCCTTTAATGCTGCAGCACAGGAATTATTGGATGGCCTTTGTGGTGTTACTCCTTCGACATTGTAAACCTATAAAATAACGATTGGGAACTATCATAACCATACTTGGGCACTTCGGAGATGTCAATGATCACGCCGCCGTAGTATTTTGTCCGACATCACAGTGTTGTACCATACTTTAAAATTTTTCTTCCTTCCTGTTGAAATACAAATACAATATAATATTTTCACTGACAAATTAAAACTTAAATAATAAAACTATTTACACTTATCAAATTCTCCCCAGCTTAAACTCTTACTATACTCAAGCAAATAAAAATTTAAAATTCTAATTAAATGATTTACCAAAATTAAAAGTGGCAATCTAAAATTACTAAAATATAAGATAATAAATCACTATCTAGAATTAGTAAAAATGAATCAAAGTTATACGCCAAGTTTTAAAAATACCAATATTTAAACTTAATTAACCATTCTTTTGTTTTTCTAATTTGAAATTATAAGTTAAAGATTTAATCTTTAACTTTTGAATGTTGAAGTGAATAATGTAGTTTTAATAATTGGATATGGATATAGTTAAATTTCCATTCATTAGTTCGTCATCCCTTGTATTATCTCTCTGATCTTATTCTTTATGATTTTTTTATAAGATTGTATTTAAAATCTTTAAGCTTTCACTTATACCAAAGTTTTATTGTACTCATCATTTTCATTTGATATTTTTTATTTCCTTTTCTTTTAAAAACTATTTATAGTTTTTTTTTTTTTTTTTTTGATTGGGTACTTAATTAATGATTTTAAATATCATCTTATACTTTAGGATTCTTATATAGTAATTTATTTTATGGACTTTATAAGATTACAAATTCTATCTTCATGTTAGCTATAATTTTAATTTTTAATCAACTCATAACTAATTTTTAATACTAATTATTCATCTTATAATTTTTAAAAGTTAAATAAATAAAGGAAAACCTTATAAATTCAAATTAGAATAATAGCTCAAATGGTTGAATGAGTTAAGTATAAGATTTTGTAACCTATGATGTATAACTAAAGTTCATTCAAACTAAGATCTAAGCTTTTATTATAATCCTAATTTTTTATAATTTTTATTTATCATTTTTATAAAGAGTTAATTAAATCATCATAAAATAAAAGTAATTAAGGACAATAATAATTTAAGTATGAAGACAATTTTATAATATATAAATAAAAGCATAAACAAATATTACAAACAAATGCTTTCATATAAGAGATATAAAGCATATAAATAATGTGTTGAAAATAAATATGACATTTATAACATAACACGGTCACAAGACAACTAGTACTCAAGGTACCTAAAAGTTTAACAATAGCACTCAAAGCCAAATTTTTTCAATTAAATTCAGTTATACAAGCCAATATCTCTCAACTCTTCCTTCTCTTCTACAAAATAATAAAGTAGAATAATAAAACACATACAAATCCTTAAGAATCTTCACTCCTCTAATCTCATGGTTTCAATCTATACCCATTGGCATTAAAGTTCTGCAAAATTTTCTTGTCCTGTATTCTGATGGCACTATTACAAAAAATTTTCATGCTAGTGAAAGGACAAATCCATCCATATTTGATTTTTTGTAAGGGAAACCCTTTTCTTATAATCAAATAGAAACACATATGCCCAGGAAAGAAATTATATAAGAAAATTATACCACCATGCATCTTCCATATTTTCATCATGTACTTCTTCTTATCTTCATGAAAATCCTCTTTGAATTCTTTCAACTTAATAATAATGGAAGAACTTTGCATGTGGAGTAGTGAAAAAGAATCCTCATTCTTGGTAGGCTTTTCATTTTGGCTCTATGAAGTAGATGATATATGCTTGATTCTACATATTGCTTAGCTATTTTATTTATAATAGAAGAAAATATGATACTCACTCAAGAGTAGAGAAGGGATGAAAAGAGAACTTCCTCCTAATTTTTTTAATAGATTTCAGCGGGAGGGAAGTTTTAAAATTTTGAAATTTCAATCATTAAGGCTTGTCCAGGCATTATTGCAGCATTCAAAGTTATGGCGTCATGGTGCTCCCTTCCTCTCTCTCAAGTTTTTTTTTTTTAAGTATATTAAATAAGCATATCTAGAGGATAGGGCTGCCTCCCTAGAAGCATTAAGTTTATAGTCTTTAACCAAACTAGATAACCGATTAGACCTAAGATTAGGTTGCCTCCCAAGTAGTGCTAAGTTTATAGTCTTCAGTTAGACTTGTCCAAATCTTTCATTTGGTTATAGTGGATGATTGATATTCTTCAATTGGGACCCATTTATATCGCTCTCCTTCTCTTTAGGATTAACTTCAGTGTTACTAGGAAGAAATCTAATGGGTTTTCTACACACAAAAATTACAAGATAACTTAGTTGAGTTTTTAAATTTTTAGTCAAAGCAGCTTGGTTTTATAATTGAGTTCCCAATTGCTTGACCACATCTTCTAATGGTGACATTCTAGTTCTATATTGATTGTTTAGATTAATTACAATAGGAAATGATGATCTTGGATTATTATTAGCTTTATTTTTATTATTCTAATTTATGCCTTGGTTTTTCAGACCAAAATTCCATTTATTTCTACCATTATTATTTGACAGATTAAATTTTGGGTAGTTTCTCTAACCTGGATTATATGTATTTGAATAGGGATTATTATAATCTCCAAACAAATTTATATTTTCAATCCCTTGGATATCATTTTCTTCCATTAAACTTTTTCATTCCAAATATAAAGATAAATCAAAATTTAAGCCTAAAGTGCCCAATTTCTTTGATATTATTGTAACCTTTTGTATTCAAAATAGATAAAGTGTCATTTTCATAAACTCCAGCCACTCTCTTAGGATTCACCCTAATAGTAAGCCACTGAAAATTATTTGTTGTCTTTTTCAATTAATTCATAAGCATCTTCAGAAGGCTTTGACAACAAAGAACCTCTAGCTACAGCATTAATCATAGCTCTAAGGGTTCCAACTAATCCATTATAAAATGTTTGAATTATCAACCTATCAGGTAATGTATGGTGAGGACCCTTTGTAAGTAACTCCTTGAATCTTTCCTAACTCTCATAAATAGATTCTCCTCATAATTGTGTAAAAAAAGTGATGTCATTTCTAAGCTTGGGTGGTTTTAATTTGAGAAAGGGTTCCACTAATTTTAAAATCAAAATTTAAATGTACTACCCCACTTATAGGCATGCAACCATTGATTTACAATTAGTAAATTAAAATAAAAGAACAAAAGAATATAGTAGGAATAATTATGCAATTAATTCAATAATATAGTAAATATACAAATAAAATATTTTCTTCCCCAACAACGATGCCAAAAACTTGAAGTGGGTGATGGACTAACCTAAAGAATTATTAAAATGATTTAGGGCGCTTTCAATCCATAAACAAAGCTTAGGTTTTCTTTGATATAAAAAATTATAAAAATCTCACTTAATATACGCAAGTATATATTCATAATTAAATAATATAGTGATAGAGTAAAGTATCGATCCCATAAGGAAGAACTTCTTGGTGGAGATATAATTACTTAATTTAAAATAAAAAATAATTAAATAAAATAATATTGGGATAAATTATTTTGGATTGATGGAATATAAATACAATATATTTCCTAATGATTCTCTTTTATATAGATGTTATTGAAAGCATATGTATCACCGACCACTCAGTTAAGCATGAAGAGACAAAGGATATATTAAACTTATCTAACCTCAATGCCACTCAAAAATTTCATGGTCTATCATCCTATAAAAATCTTAGAAGAGTAAGTAAAGTGTGTACTATTAAAATCCCCTCAAGATAATTCATATCTATAAATTTGATGCATGATAAGCATTATATCTATGCTTGCATCATTTTAATCCAACATTCTTAGTTGTGCCTACTTTCTTATTATTATTCTCCACATTACACCTGATAATAATTACACATATGGCCATTATGTAAATTAAATGAAGACCTAGTATATTTAAAATATCATGAAATTATTGATGAAGAGAATGCATTAGTACTTCATATTTCATTTACACCATTAATCTAAAATAAGAGAATTTAGCCATACATGAAGACTATAAATGAAGCATAATCATTTTCATTAATTGCACAAAAGAAAATATAGTAGAAAAGATATCATTAGATGGTTTAATAATCTCCTCTAAAATCATCTTAGAACTTATAGAATTGCTTCTACAAACACAAGTCAAACACACTAATGAAATATATCTAGTACTTTGCTAAATTCCCTTAATTATCACTCCTAAGAAAAAAATCAAAGAATTACTATAAAGACTGAAATTAAATAAGTGATTAAGCTCTTATACTAATATTATAAATAGACTATTTATAAAAAAAAATAATAGATTCTACAGTCACTGTGCTCAAGACATGTGCACCATGGTGCCCATAAAATAAAGTATAGCTACACCAATGAAGGGTTTACTTCACTATTGCACTTATTGGCATGAATCTACTATTTAATGAATTAATATGTCACTTCAACGGTAAATTATGGCCTAAATAGTTATAATTATAGTTCCATGGTGCTAGTAACTATTGAACACTAAATGTCCATGTGGCACTCCCTCAGTGTTAGGATTTAGCACTGCAGTTCTATAAAGACAAAGACTAGGCTTTACAGTGCTAACTCCTCTGATGTTATGGTGCTAGGATTGTTGGATGGGCTTTGTGCTATTGAATCCTTTGATGCCTTTGATGATGTTATTGTTGAGTCTAGTAATTAGGTTGTTAAGCCTAAGTGAATGTCCCAAGGCTACCAAGACGGGGGTGAATTGGTAGTTTAAAAAACAAAGTTAAAATTTAAGACCCCTTTTTGAAAATTATTGAACCGAAATAAAATCTCTTTTAAATTTTGTAGAAAAAGGTTTTTCAACCACAGAGTTTTTAAAACAGAAATAGAAAGTGCGAAAACGTAAAAAATAGTAAAGTAAATGACACCAGATTTATAGTGGTTTGGTCTATAACCAGACCTGCATCCACTCCCCAGAGGCACCCTCTGAGTATTGCACTAATACCAATAGTGACTCTCCTTTTGCACCCACAGCAAGGTGGAGAAGCCTTTACAACACACTCTTTTCACCACTCCCCGGTGCGGCAGAGAACCATCCGTCCTTTTACACAATTCCAGTGTTGGCAGAGAACCGTCCATCCTTTCACACTCTCCAA